CCAGTGTGAATGTATTGAACATTATTTTTTGTTGCATTATTGCAAGTTGGATCTCATATTTTTATTGTGGAAAGTTTCTAAAATGCATTACAACATCAATTATAATGTTTTGGGTATTATATAGATTTTTTTTTGATATTTTGTCATTTTCATAGAGATAGATATATTTTTTTGAAGCTCCTATATATACTTTCTTGAGTCCTAAATGTTTTATGTGTTTTTTTGTCCTGTAGTTTTAGAACCCTAAAAATATTTTTCCTTGGTTTAAAGAACCTTACCAGGTACTTATTAGTGTTTTTATGTATGTAATACTAAAAAAGATGAAACCGTTCAAAGAGTTATGAGAGTTATTATAATAAGGAGATAAAATGTCCAACTTTAGAGTTGGATGAGTAAAAATAGATCATGGCAACTGGCAATACTAGTTCATGGATTAGATAACCAAAAAGTAACAATTACATGGAATCGGACACCGTCGGTGAACTCGAGCCGCAGCTCGTCACCATCAAAGCCGGCGCGTACGAAGACGAGTTCTATTTTGCTACCTCTCTTTCTCTTAAACAGAATCAGTTGTTTCCAATAGCCCGCTTCCCAGACGCAGCTGGTTGGGCTTCGTTTACTTCTTCCAGTTTGGGCCGGTGAACTTTGGATCGGGTTTCCTGGCCCGCTTGCCTTCTGGGCTTCCTGCTATCTTGCGTACTGTAACACTCTACTGGAAGAAGTAAGGGTTTTTGATTGGCACCCTTACAATTTTCGGTTATTGGAGATATACCATTACAATTTGACTAATTCAAACCATACCATTACAATTGTGCGATACTCGGACCAACGCCATGGGATACGCTTAGCGACGTCTTGGGGCCACCTGTAGGTGTGTACACTGCCTCACTATTTCCGTATGGACGTCCATGCCCTCGGGTCAATTGGATAAGGCCCATCAGGCGCCGGCTCTCCCTTTCCTCCTCCTGCTCTGCTCGTTTCTCTCCTCTTGCGCTCTGTTTCGCCTCCTCCTTCCCGTCCGCTAGGGTTAGGTGTCGCTGCCACCACCGCTCTCCGTCGGCTGCCTTGCCCGATGCCATCGCTGCTTGCCCATGGCTACCACGGCTTCCGGCTCGTCATCCATGTTAGGGGAGGACTCTCCTCTCGTGGATCGCCCGATTGCTTGGTGCCGGTCGTCAAGTGCAAAAGAGCAAGAACGACAACTTCTACTACAGGTGCTCAAATAGGTGTGGTAAATGGTGGTTTGAGGATGCATATGAGCTCTATTTGCGCAATAATCCTGCCAATCTGTTGGAGAGTTCTTTTGTTTTTGGGCACAATCCAGCTGATGCTGTTCAAGTTGTCCAGCAGCTTGCTGCAACTACTGTTGGAGGGTTCGAGATGGTGGCACTTGATTTGAAGTTGATGCTCAGTGACATCAAATTGGAGATTGGCGACTCAAGACCGAAGTGAAAGAACCGAAAGATGAGGTTAAGAAGGAAAAGAGTCCAATTGTCTTGGACAATGCAAATTGTTGTTTTCTTGGCAATCTTTTGTAATCATCTCCGGTAGCAATTGTATGGATGAAATGAATTCTCATGTAATGTAGCCTGTGTTAGATAGTGTTAGCTTATAATTTGGGTAGCTTTTGTGCACTCTCATGATGAGTGGGTAATGTAAGCATTTGGTCTGTACTTGGAGCTATGCTTGTTTGCAATTTATGAACAAGTTTCGCAAAGCATGTTTGTCGAAACTTAACTGCTCGCAATAAATGAACAAGCAAAGATGCCAACTATCTAGAAACAAGTTCTCGTGAGAATTTCTGAAATAATTCCTAATTTAACATAGACCAGTTCACGTAAATATATTAGATAAGTGTTTGATGCCATCAGTCAAGTGCATCTCATGTATATTACCTGTGCCATCAAGATTCACTACTTAGTGTTTTGAGGCCATTAATGAAGATAGACTACCATTACAAGTTCATGTGCCCAAAATGATCGAGGAGGCACAGAGAAGTTTTTATGCCCAAAAGCATTACATGACATTACAAGTTTTTTTTGCCAAAAGCATCATAGAACATTTTGAGCCTTGTCAAGTAGACTATGGATCGAAGACAAGCTTTGTGATACTAGTCACAGCAGTGGGAGGTGGGTTTGCCTTTGCCCTTTTCAGCTTCTTCTTCACAGGTGTTTTTTTCTTGGTTGTGGTTGTCTTCTTTTTCTTCTTTTTGTTCACCTGTGGTTGTGAGGTACCTGCATCATCTTATATGGTCCTCTTTCTGCAATGGTTCGTGCATGGACCTCTTTCACCATCTTGACCAACCTCTGGCTCTTTGTAGCTTTTTTGGAAGTGGCCAAGTCCTCTACATCTTTTGCATCTCACCTTTTTCTTGGTAGCCCTTTTCTCCATGCACCCTCTAATCCTTTGCACCTTTGGCCTCCCTGGTCCTCTACCCAATAATGGTTGGTGCACTGTGAACCCAAGATCAACTTTAGGCCACTGGGATCTATCAGGTATAGGTTCAACTCTTGCCTCATAAGCTTTCTTGAATTTAGCCACTGAGTAGTACTCATGCACATAATCTTCTATTTTCATCCCTCTATTGGATAATATCCAGGCCAAAGCATGTCTACAAGGCTTTCCAGTGACTTGCCACTCCCTGCATGAACCATGTCCAGTTGTCCTCATTCTCAGTGTCAAAAATTGCATATGCAATGTGATACAACCAATTGTGCCCATCTATACCAGTTGCAGATGCCAACTGTCCTCTGTACTTGCCATACAAACATGAAGCATTAATCCCTATAAATGGTCTGCATCCCTCTAGAAAGCCATCAATACATGGCTTAAGAGCTAAAAAATCCTCCTAAATCTCTGCTTGCCCTCAACCATCTCTACCTCTATCTGCACATGATTGCTAGGTGATGATTTGGCAATCTGAGCTGCCCAATTGAACAGAAGCTGAAAACTCTCCTCATACTTTCCATAGATCTGCTCTAGTGCTACCTTCATGCCAGACCATGCTTTGGAGTACTTGAGCTTGATACCATAGTCACCCTCTAATTTGTCCTTGCAATCTGTTGGAGTCTTAGTATAATACCTCTTCAACCAATCCCCTAACCTTTCTGCAGCCCAGCCTTGGGTTGCCATTTTGGTTTCTTAGAGTTTAGTAGTAGCACATTTATGTTCTGCACATAGTATTTTGATCTGCACACATAGACAGAAAATTGTTAAATTATAAGGTGGAAAACTGGTAACAAAATGAAAGAGATGTCATAACTTCAATTCACCTATATTGTCTTGCCATCAAAGATCCTTGAAGCATGTATACGCCAAGAACACCCTTCAGCTTTACACCTAGTAATAAACCTAGTCTTATCTGTAATGATTTTACCAAATTCAAACCATTTCACCACTGCATGATGTCTCACTGTCTTCCTAAATGTAACAATGTCATGAAATCTTTCTCCCTTCTCTATCTTGGGGTTTTCAGGATCATAGATAACTTGAACCTCCTCTGGATCTGCATCATTTACCTCTGCCTCAAGAGAAACACCTCCTTCAGCAGCACCAACATCATCAAACTGATCAGCAACATGAACATAGTCATCATCATCAGCAGTATGAGCATGGTTGTTACAAGGTTCTACATTGTTAGCTGCCTGCACAGGCATGTACAGTCCTTCATCATCAACACCGACATACTCCTCATCATTGTCAAACATGTCAGGTTCCCTATCAGGCTTAGGCTCTAATGGATACTCATCATTATCAGAAGACTGGGCTGCATGGTTGTCATCAGGGCTGATGGTATTCCCATCTCCTGGTGGAATGTCTTTGCTACTAGGGTTGCCGTGAATAGAAAGCTCAGGTGGAATAACACATATTGGATCTAGGTTTGTAAACTCATCAAACTATCTAAGACAACTGTCAAACACAAGAACTTCACAGCGCATCTGATCCTTATACATTTCAAACAAGTTATGCATTTGAAAATCATTTTCTATTCTCACATCTTCACATAGCCTTTTGTCAAAGAACCACACACTAGGAGACTGGCTACTGGACCACTGGAACTCATTGCGCAGGCTTGTCAACAGCAAATCGAAGGAAAATGAAGCTACTTCAACATCCCACTTAATCAAGCGTCCCTTTGTGCATGCTTTTCTACCGGTGCTGTTTCTGGTACAGGATCCTTCTACTTTCATCACTAGCGAGAACAACGAAACCCTAGCAACAAACAAAATCAACCCCAAATCCAATGAATCCCTATCAATAGTCTCAACGAAATCTACCGGGGACGAGTTCATTCACTATAGAGGGAAGAAAAAGAGGCAGAGGATAAATACTCGCCCTCGTCGTCCGCCATCTCCGTCGTGCCGCGCGGCTGCGTCTCACCCATTGCGCGCAATAGGGTGCATCGCAGCACGCACGCAAGCTGGGTGCTTCTGGTTGTCGCAGTTTATGCCGCCGAAGACAGGGTCGCCGCCGTCCTGCTCGCCACCGTCGTCGGGGTGAGGGTGAGTGAGAGGAGACAGAGCGTGAGGAGGAAGAGAGCAATCAGCCTGGGTGGGATACGGAGGCACCTTATCCAAATGACCCAAGGGCATGGGTGTCCATACGCAAATACGGAGGCAGCTTATACGCTGCAGGTGGCCCCAAGACGTCGTTGAGCGTATCCCATGGCGTTGGTCCGAGTATCGCATAATTGTAATGGTATAATTTGAATTAGTCAAATTATAATGGTATATCTTCAATAACCGAAAATTGTAATGTTGCCGATAAAAAAACCCAACAAGTAAACGATGCCCAGCCCAGCCCAGTCGACCGGGAAAAATCCCGTCTCGCGCTCCCCACTTCACTTGTGTGCAACGCGCGCGACACGACGCGCCTTATCCACATCACGCTCCTCTCTTCTCTTTTTCCACGGGAGAGAGGGATGACGAAGCCAGCGCGCGACGACGCATTACTCCCTCACCGCTCGCGCACCCGGTCTCCTTCCCGCCACGCCCACGACGATGCCGTCCCCGACGTCCTGCCTCCTCCTGAACCCCTCCAAACCCTCCTCCTTCCGCCGACTCTCGGCCCCGGCCCCGCACCTCCACGCCCGCCGGTTCCATGTCTCCTGCGACGCGCCGCGGGGCAGCGGCAGGAGTGGCGGCGGGAGGCGCGAGGCCATCCCCACCGGTGCCAGCAAGGCCAAGAAGCAGATCGTCTTCTTCGACGCCGCCCCTCCGGTGTCGCAGGAAGGCGGGGCCGCCGTGGAGAAGGCGGGGGGTGAGAAGCCGACGACCAAGGTGGGCAGCGGCAACGCGGCGCTGGCGTTGGTGAGGAGGGCGACCAAGAGGACGCTCGCGGTGCTGTCCAACCTCCCGCTCGCCATCTCCGAGATGTTCGCCATTGCCGCCCTCATGGCTCTAGGTACCGACTGCCGATTGTGACTAAAATTTGATCCTTTGTTGACGCTTCATGAATTCCTTCCTGCTCATTTTCCTGTGCTGGCATTGCGAATCGGGCAACCGCAGGAACGGTCATTGACCAGGGAGAGGCGCCGAGCTACTACTTCGAGAAGTTCCCCGAGGACAACCCTGTCTTCGGCTTCATCACGTGGAGGTGGATCCTCACCCCCGGGTTCGACCACATGTTCTCCTCGCCGGTCTTCCTCGGCCTCCTCGCGCTCCTCGCGACGTCCCTCATGGCGTGCACCTACACGACCCAGCTCCCCATGGTCAAGGTCGCAAGAAGGTACGGCCACTCTCTTGTATATCAGTATATGCCACTTCTTGGTAGGCCGATCAGTGAACCATGGGGTGAGAGTGAGACATCAAGTGCCGGTGTGTCATTGCAGATGGTCGTTCACACATTCCGGAGAAAGAATACGGAAGCAGGAATTTGCAGACTCTCTTCCTCGAGCATCCATTCAGGATTTGGGAGTCATCTTGATGGGTGCTGGATATGAGGTGATTGACACCCACAATGATCTCTATCCAGCTCCAACCTCTGGGCAGTTGCATTATGCTTGTATGATCTGTTGCTGCAGGTATTCACCAAGGGGCCATCTTTGTATGCTTTCAAAGGGCTGGCTGGTCGGTATGCGCCTATCGGCGTGCACTTGGCGATGCTCTTCATCATGGCTGGCGCCACGCTAAGTGCGACAGGAAGCTTCAAAGGCTCCGTGGATGTGCCTCAAGGGCTGAACTTTGTTATAGGAGATGTGATGAAACCTAGAGGGGTCTCTCTGTTGCACCGGATGTTTTCAATACTGAAGTCCATGTCAACCGGTTCTACATGGAGTACTATGACAGTGGAGAGGTGATCTCCTTGCTCAGTGTTTTCAAACCTTTTGTGCAGTTATATGCTCTAGACTGATTGGCAACTTGCGGGGAACCCTGATTGGCAACTAATATTGTTGGATTGCCAGGTCTCACAATTTTACAGTGATCTCTCTCTATTCAACCTTGATGGTAAAGAAGTGATGAGAAAGACTATCAAAGTAAACGATCCCCTGAGATATGGAGGGATCACCATCTACCAGACAGATTGGGGATTTTCAGCATTGCAAGTGAAGAAAAATGGTGAAGGCCCTTTCAATTTGGCAATGGCCCCCCTTGAAATTGAATGGGGATAAGAAACTCTTTGGGACATTCTTGCCACTTGAAGATGTGGACTCGTCGAATCCAAATGTCAAAGGAATGTATGTTTAGTAATTTTTCATCTCATTTTGATTTAAAAAAGTTAACTAAATATGAGTAATGATATGTTGTTTGCCTACTTGGTGACTTGTAGATCAATGCTTGCTCGAGATTTGCAGTCTATCGTGTTGTATGATCAAGAGGGTAAGTTTGTAGGGGTCCGTCGGCCAAGCTCGAAACTGCCTATTGAGATCAATGGCAATGAAATACTCATTGAAGATGCTATTGGCAGTACTGGACTGGATCTTAAGGTATCCTATTGATTCATTCTTTTTCATTTTTATTTTTGAAGACATTTGTGCTTTTCCTTTAATAGAAGTGTCTTATTTTTTCCCCTTTCCATCAGACTGACCCAGGAGTTCCTATTGTTTACGCTGGTTTTGGTGCGCTTATGTTAACGACCTGCATTAGCTATCTTTCACATTCTCAGGTATGTGTGATTGTTTTTCATGGTTCTTATTGACGACAGAATTGCAGTTGGCTTGCCCATACACATTTATGGTTTGGTTCCTGCTGCACTAGATATGGGCATTGCAAGATGGAAGTACAGTAGTCGTTGGAGGGAAGACAAATCGAGCCAAACTTGAATTTTCTGAAGAGATGAACCGGCTACTTGATAAAGTACCAGAGCTGATCAGTGCCGATGAGAATGTACTAAATACCAAATCGACTGCTACATGAAACATTTTTTGTGTTTTTGTTTGGGATTGCTGAAGATGCAGTAGCTCTGTTCTGGAGAGAACAGAAGTTCGAATTCGCAAAACATGGCCTTCAAGAATAGAAAAACTCTTACAGTCTTTCAGTAGAATGTAGATCACGCTTCAATTGAACTCTCTGTACATCTTTGAATGAGAAGATTGCTAGAAACTAAACTGGTAGCTTGTTATGTTACCAATTTACCATACTTTAGATCAAAATAAAACTGTAACCTTTGGTTCTGTTACTGAAATTTTTGGGGAGCGTGTTTCAAGGAAATCAAACGGCTTCACCCAAAACCTCATCAGATACTTAAATCATATATTGTTCTTGAGATCTGTGCATGGGCGAATTCCTCCATTGCAATTTGCAAAGGATGCAGATTCCATACCATTCATTCACGCCCGTATTGTTGTGGTCGGTGTGCTGAACTTGGGGTGTCAACTGTTTGTCAGTCCATCGGTCCATCGTAGGGGGTAGCATCCAATGTTTTCTTCATTCTGGTCAAATACAAGGATGTACAGTTCAAAAAAAAATGAACAAACAGTGTCAGGAAAGATGCTGCTGCCGGTCATCTTAGATGCCCGAACCCAATGATGAGTTTCAGGTGGGTGATTTATCAGTAAGTAAACAGCCAGTAGCGTCTACTTCCATGTGGTGATGCCACGAAAACATGTGCCATAGGCAATCCCTATGTTCGAGTTGTTGGTAACCTCCATGAGAGTCACATGGAAGCTCTGCATTTGAAAATCTTGTACTTGTTCTCGAGCGGTATCGAAATTGCAGATTTCGTTTGCTCCCTCAGACGTGATCAGATCTCTCTTGAAATCTCAATCTCCACTGCAAATCTGAACTTGGCATTCGAAGGATACAATCATTAGTGCTCACTGATCTCAAGTTCTCAACTGATACTCTCATTGCTACTCATCTAAAAAACTCTCATTGCTACTAGATAGTTTCAGATCCCTTTATTCCCTGTCTCTGATGAAATCGTTTCATATGAGAGGGCTGCATTCTTCAAAGATGACTGTCTCTCTGCATCACTTGTCCTGTCAACAGCTTCTGAAATCTGAATGCCTTCAAACAGTGAATTTTTCAGTCAGTGAAGTAAAAGTCCGATCCATGACTTGTCAAATTGTCATGTCACAAGGCGCCCCAAACCGCAAATTCAATTTTGAACCACTGTATCTCGAAGCCCATAACTAAATCACGGATTCCGAGATATCGTTGTTCGGTGGGCGGTGGCGCGGGGATCGTGAGCACATGATCACGTTGTCTGATGGGAGTTAGATAATGCCAAACTGACAGTATCTGATGAGGGAGGTAGTTGCGACGCAGGCTCAACTAACTTCTCATCACGACCGGTCAAACCCCACACAAAGATGCATGGCATGGGCGGCGGCTTCTTCTTCGGATCGCAGCAACCACCAGCTGAGCTGCGCGGCTATAAGAGGAGCTCCCGGCACTTGGTTCTTGTATACTACCTGCAAACTGCAGCGCACAAGCGAAGTGACACAAGCTAAGCGAACACAGAAATGGCGAAGCGCGCGTCGAGCAAACGGAGCTTCAGGTTGCCGTTCATGTGCGGGCAGTCGGACGTGGCCAGCCCGAGGGGCGCGGCTGTCACGAGGCTGTCGTCGACGTCGTCGTCGTCATTCGGCAGGGGGTCCAGGTCCGGGTCTAGCTCCAGCTCCAGCAGCAGGCACGGCGAGCTGCAGCGGATCTTCCAGCACTTCGACCAGGACAATGATGGCAAGATCTCCGGCGCCGAGCTGCGCGCCTTCTTCGTGTCCATGGGCGACGACATGCCGTCGTCGTACGGCGACGGTGGCTACATGCTGGACTTCGCCGGGTTCGTGGCACTGATGGAGAGGGAGGGCGGCCAGGAGGAGGACCTGCGGAGGGCGTTCGAGGTGTTCAACGCCGTGGAGTCCGCGGGCAGGATCACGGCCAGCGGCCTGCAGAGGGTGCTCGCTCAGCTCGGAGACAAGCGTTCTGTCGCCGACTGCGAGGCCATGATTCGGGCCTACGACGTCGACGGCGACGGTGGCCTCGATTTCCACGAGTTCCAGAGGATGATGAGCTAACTGATTCCGGCTTAAATAGTGAGTCTTCACTTTCAGAGCCCTGAAGAATGAAAGGGTTGTTCATAGGTCTGCATCCAGATGAGCCAATGCAAGTTGCTACGGGGCAAATGTGTCATCTACGTACTTGGATGCTGCTGCTTGCCTGAAGCAATTTGTTGCTTCATCTTGTGTTGTTTGGTGGGTCACACCAGTGTATCAGTTAAATTACAATTGATTTTTTCTTCTAAATACAGCTCTTTTGTTCATAAGTGGGATTTTTTTTCCTTTCAAGATTTTCACCTAAAGAAGGTAGAAAAAATATTTTAATTTTTCCAGGTGTTTTTTTACTGTGATATATCACTTGGACTCAAATAGGTCATCAGTTTGGAGGTTTCTTATGTGGAAATGATCAAGAATTTGGGCTCAACTGGAAAGTGGCATGGTACATAACCATTTCAAACTGGGCAATCATCCAAACAACACGCATGGAAACCGATATATCTTCACTTTAGAAGAACACATTCTGCAAAATCTTTACAGTTGCATCGAAGGCATCGAGTTTTTACATAAGAGATCCTTAGCACAGTAGAATTAACATCGTGCAACGTTTGTAAGAAGCAGAACAGAGCAGCAAACAGATGCCTGATGATATACAGACAAGAGAACAAATTATGTACCCAGAATTCAGAGATCTTCACATATTAAAGATATGAAGGCACGCCGAATCGGCGGCCTTCTAGGCTGTCCACGTCAGTTCTTTTAATTTTGTGCGTTAGATCGAAATTCCACGGCTCAGATGAGATAGACGAGGATGAACGGTAGCAGAGGACGAGAGATTCTCGACATCGGTGCGGGTGGTCGGCACGCATCCTCGCATGTCGCTGGGCCCTTCCTTGCATGCATGCAAAAGTTCGCTGGGCCCTTCCTTGCATGCATGCAAAAGTTGCCGCTTCACTTGCTTCTTCACGGGATAACCGGCTGTCCGCAGAAAAAAAATCTCGTCCCCTCAATCGGCGCCCCGTCGTCTCCTCCGTGGGCTGTCGCCCGCCTCTCTTCCTTCCCTACGCCGCTGCTCCGCCTCTCCGCCGCCCCCCCATCGCTTTGCAGACCGGCGGTGCGCCTTCTCCAGCCGCTTGTTCGCTTCGCCTCTCTCCTCCTCGTCGCGACCGCCGAGGCTCTCAAGATTTCTGAATGCGGCGCGCAGTCAGGCGTCTCCAACGCGGCGCCATGGTGCGCCGTCCAACGCCGGTGGCGTGGTGGCGGCGTCGAGAGCCTCGCTCTCCCCCGGCGCCGCTCCGGTGACTCGCGTTCAGATCCGTTGATCTACCCACCAGATCCGTGCGGTGCGGTGAGGTCATCATTGGCGGCTAGGTTTGAACTCGCCAGGTCGTATCACACCACCGCCCTCGTTGTTCTTCTCGCATCTTCACAATACACGTGCTTCGTTGATTTGATTTTCTTTGATGTGATCGGCGGCAGTCGGGGGCGGCAGCGACGGCCTCGCGCTCGCTGCGTGGAAGGGCCGAGAGTCGCATAGCAGCGGAACCCTAGCCTCGACCTCTATCTCCCTCCGCCACAAATTGCTCAGTACGAATCTCCTTTCCTCATCGCTCTCGGGTGGTTCGTGCCCCGCGCCTTCTAGATTTGTTTTCTTGTGGGGGTCGGTCGTGGTGTTGCGTAGATGCGGATCTTGACGCTGGACGCGTCGGGGCTGATTTGTTGATTAATTCTTCCCTTCTTGCTTTGTTGGTAGGTCAACGGTGAAGGATGAGCAGCATCGGAGCCGCACGATCTCGTCGGCAACCTCCCCGGCGACATCCGGAGAGGGAGGTGGAGGATCCGTTCTAGAAGGTGGGGAAATTTTTTAATTGTTTGATTCCTTGCTACCCTATTAATCATTACGGGCGCGGCACATCCATGGAGGTCGAGCATGGCGTGAGAGCGCGACCACCACGCCCCGGTGTGTCTCTGGTGGCGTGAGGGGAGGCGTTCCACCACCACTCAGCAAAGCAAAGACAAAGGTTCGGCGCAAAGACATTGCTGCGTCGCCGCAGTGACAGCCTGCCTCGTCCGCTCCCGACCGGCCGAGGCTTGCCACCGTGCTATCCGCGTGGCTGCCCGCACCTACTCGGACGCCATCCTCCATGTTGTGGCGCTGCCTCGCATGCCTTGCCTCCTACCGGGGCAAGGCGAGAGGGTCGGATCCAAGGGTCGATCTTTGAGGAGTCGCAAGCTCCAAGAAGGTCTGGACCCTTTCACTTTTCTCCTCTCCCGACGGGAATGTTCTTTTTCTCTCCTCTTGGTTCTAGATCAGGTGGAGTATTGATTTGTTTTTCCATCTGATTTGGGGTCCTCTCAGATCCTCGATGTTGGCTGTGTGTGTGCGCCGATGGACCTTCTGCTTTGTGGCGCGGATCTATGAGCCTTGTTTTGTGTTTTTTTCCTCTGTTGGTCAATTCGTGTCCTCGTTGTTTCTCACACTAATTCTAGTTGCAGATGATTGTTGTAGTTATCTAGACGAATAGAGGTGATGGAGAAGAAGGTGTCTCTTCTTTATGCTATAACCTCATGAGAAGCCTTGCATCTGTTATACCGAACCATGCAATCTTAAATTTGTGGGAATGTTATATGCAAAAAATTAAACCAGAAATTGCACTTTGAATAGATGTGTTGATAACTTAGCATGGCAATGTAGGAACCAGGATAATAAAGCAGGTGACATTATGTTGAGTAATTTTTTGTATATTATTATATTATTATACGATAATAGTAGACGCATGCGTGTAGGATTGGAATAGCTAAATTTTGCACTCTAGAGTGGCTAAATTTGTTATGCGGCACTAACAGGAGAATCCATAAGAAGTTTGTAGTGTCTTTGGTTCATGGCTACCTAAAGACATGGAAGAAGCAAGGCAGGATGAAATGAAAAGATTTTTCCATTATGCTTCTAAATCAGTCTCGCATCTGCTTAGTTTCTAATCAAGCTTTCAGCTATGATCCTCTATGATCGATTGTTCAACCTCACTCTTTCAATATGGAAGTAGAGAAAAAGGATGCAAGCCCAAAGTATGGAAAAACGTCTCATTTGTTGGCAAAAAGTTTTGGTGGTTAAACCTAATTTATGTTCAAAATGCAGGCTTGGTCCAACAAAGAAGTCAAACATTTACAAGGGGTGAATGAGAGATTACTGAAAAGAATTGTTGTACTAAAGGGAACAGTTAAAACATTGAATTCTAAAATAGATCCTTTGACCCTAGACGATTCGCTTAACCAGTTTGTAGAACAATGCTTGGGTTCAGAAGATGTCATTTATCTAGTTGGTGGTTTTGATGGCTTCTCATTTGTGCCATCACTAGACTCTTTTTTCCCCTTCATTGGACGTAGTAACACCCCTCAAACCAATGGCTGTTGGCAAGTCATATACCTCAACTGTTGCACTAGAGGGCAAGATATTTGTTCTCTGTGGTGGTGATGGTGTTTGCTGGTTTGATACAGGTTGCTACTTGGCTTCTAAGTTTAGTTCCCTCTTGAGCTCTTGTATTTCAATCTGTCCGATTCTCGCATTTATCTTTTGGATGAAGTTTACTGTTATGACCGAAGTTGTGGTGATTGGTCCACATGCCCATCGTTGACTCGTGATGTGGAGCTTCTGTCAAGTTAGTGTCAATGGGAGAATCTATGCATTTGGTGGTGGAGATGGAACCGAGTGTTTCTCGATGTTGAGATGTTTGATCCTACTCATGGTAAGTGGATAAAAATCAGCCTATCTTTGGAAAAGGTATCGCTTTCTACCGTTCATTTGTTCTAGAATGTGAAAACTTTTTTTCTCATACATTACTAAAGCCCTTACACTTGGTGGAACATGCATAAATCGCCTAAGACACAAATAGCTTGGGAAATAATAACCATTTACTCATGAAAACTGTGTAATTCTTCACAATGAAGAAAAATAGTTCCCGGTTCCATTTTAATTTGATGTACCGCCTTTTTTGGGAAAATATTTGCTTCGATACAAATCTCCACATAATATGATAAACTCTCTAGCTTGACTGTCTTTTTTGTCACATCTTTTTCAACATTAACTCTAGCCGGTGTGGCACTAAATGGTGTGATTTATGTTGTTGGTGGCTTCAATGGTGTTGAATATCCGAGGTGATGTGCTTTCTCTCTGTATTTAGTACTTGATTGGTTTGGTTTTGATCTGGTGGCAATACAACAGCTCATAAAACCTCGAGACATCTCAAAAAAGCAGTTAGTTAAACCTCATGCTTATTTGGCCTATGGTTTAGTGCAAATCTAAATAAACTGAATTATTTCAGTAAATGTTCATTAGCATATTCTCTGTTGCTATAATGGCGGTGGTATTTGAAGTGAGAGGAGCAACAAGAAAACTATTCGCTAACTTTGCGATGTGTATTGGCAAAGACTATTGAAAGACTTGATCCTCTGGAGCCTAAATGGAAAATGCTACCAAGGATGAGTGCAGGAAGGGGGTCATCATACACTTACAATGCTTGATGAGAAGATGTAAGTCATGTAACTCTTTTTTTTATGTTGAAACAATGAATCGAAGATATGTAGGATGTGCCTTTCAAAAAAATGCTATATATATAACGCGTGCCAAAGAAATGAGGGGGGGCATCGTGGTGTATACTATCCTTTGTTGACGTAATTTGCCTTTTTGTATTTTCTTCCAGATTCTCGATTGGTGGATACGACATCGGCCTAAAGCAATGGTGGCTATTTGTTGAGGTGTGCGAGCCAAGGATGCCGTCATGGATGATGGTTGAACCCATGAACTACACCGGAGGATATCATTCTTCAAATTGTGTTTCGGTGGCTCAATATTCACCTTTGGTGGGGTGAAAGGTGAAGCAGATACAATCTTGGATGTGGTAGTAGCAACACCAAATGATGATTTCTTATCGTGTTCATTTGGCCGTTAATAATTCAACCGAGCTGGAACCAAAAATCATACATCCAAAATCTTATGCTTAGTTGCTAGGGCTTGATAGTGAGGC